AATGGTTGTTTGTACACGGTTTGTGACACAGAAAAAGACTGAACTTTACTTTTTCCCATCTGACAGGCTGCACATATTTCAATTATGTCTACATTTAGTCTTTTATTAAGAGTTGCCATCACCACCTCAGCTGTAGGATGACCTAGCCTTTTATGTCACAACCAATACTTATTAGTATCTTTGATGACAGTGATGTGAATTGTTGTTGTTTCTTACAGAGTTTGGCAGTCAAAACTATACAATCCTCCATCAAGCTTTCCTTCAACCATCATGACTCTTGTGCTTTCATCCTTAATATAACAAACACTTTCATGAAACTCAAAATAAATTGAATTATCTTGAGTAAATTTTGAAACCGATAAGAGATTCTTATTAATTTTTGAAACATATAACATCTAATCAAGCAAAAAATCTCTAGAGGCAGTTTTTAAAACGTTTATACCAATATGAGTAATTGGAACTATGGAACCATCTCCTAGATGAACCTTACCACTGTTTATGTAAGCTTGCCTGATTGAGATAGTAGAGGTGGAACCAGTCACATGATGTGTGGCTCCTGAATCAGGGAACCATTTTGCATAGGTCAAAGGACCATCAACCATTAATGCAATAACTTGTACATTACTACTTGGCTCGATGACAGATGAGCCTTCATCTCCTGTACTTGCATTTACAAAAGGACTATAGTGACAGTCAGATGCATGAGGAAAGCATGAACAAACGTTTGTATGTATTTCATTAGTCGAAGAACTTTGTTAAGTAGTTACACCTTTAAAGTTCTGATCAAACATATGTTAGTACATGTCAACTAGATGACATATCTTCCCACAAAGTTGACATTGCTGCTTAGGTATCCCCTTGTACTTGTTACCTGTAGTATTGTTAGGTTTAGAAGCCCCACGATTCTTGTAGTACTGAGCATCAGAGACTTGATTGGTACCATAGCATGTGAAATTTACCCCTATAGGAAACCTCGACGAGTCATCAAGACGTGACTCAACATCAATAAGAACCGATACCACATTGTCGAGGGAAAACGGCTCTATGCTCACAGTGATCGTAGCAACAGTTGGCTCATATTCAACTAGTAGACCATTAAGAATGGTGGCAATATGATCAGTATCTGAGATAGGACTACCACACGTGGCTAAAAGATCACATATTTCTTTAATAGCCATGGTGTAGTCTCTCATAGACTGAGAGCCTTTCTTCATTGACCTAAGTCGACAATGCAAAACCATAATTTTTATAGTAGACAACTTGGAATACAGCCTGGTGATGACATTCCAGACTGCAGCTGTGGATTTAGCACCAACCAACTGAGGTATAATGTTGGTACTAACAGTAGAAAGAAGCCAAAAAGCCAACGAGCTATCTTGCTTGATATAACACAAATAAGCTGGATTGATAACCTGCTCACCAGCATCGTTAAGAACCAGCTTCACCGGAACCACCATGGTTTCATCAAGAAAGCCTTCTAGTCCAAGCCCTCGGATCTTGAGAATCACTTGTTGCTTCCATAAGAGATAGTTCGAATATGTTAAGCACACGTTGATTCTTTTATTAGCAAAGGTATGCGAGGTAGCATCTATAAACTGCTCATCCTCAACCATTTCTGACATCGACGCAACTTGAACCATGATCGATCTCGAAGAAGCAAGAGAACCAAGACGCAATAGGTAAGAAAGAAGAGAGAAAGAAAGGAGAAACGCACAGGGAAACCGTTTCAAGATCTATTGGCAAATGGTACCATGTTAACTACGAAAGAAACGCATAAAGAACAACAGCAGAAAGTGAAAACAACTTCAATGTATTGATCATATCAAGTACACAAGTTAAGCAGCTATTTAAAGTCTCTAAAGAGATAGCAAGAGATAGGATCTAACTGCTGCAAAGTTGGTTACAACCGATTACAACCAACTGACCACCTAACCTTTTACACTTAACTACTTAACTGAATATGGTTTAACACAGCCTTCATTCATTTCATCTGCAAATGTGAAATATTATTATTTCTACGCATAAGCAAAAATCATAATAGTGAGGCAGTTATGTCGGCTGGTTTATTTTTTAGGATATTAAAGTATGATGTGAGTAAGATTTATTAAGAAAACAATACATTTCCTACGAGACCTTGCAGTGGAGGATGCACTCATGACTTTAGAGTGTACACGTATCTATCTTGAAATTTGGATTATTTTAGGTTATTTATTTTTTTGATAATGTTCATTCTAAAATTTTATTGTGTCCACCTTAAAATCTGAATTTTCTTCAATTAGTGAATCATTTTATTGATAGTTTCCACCCTGAAATTTTATTTATTCTTACCTTATTCAAAAAATTTATATTGTTATCATATATGTGCCCACTCTCTAAAATATTTCTTGATCTGCTACTGAGGCCTTGGTTTATAACTTTTGAGTATTTAAAATTTTTATATATGTCAGTTTTCACTTTTGATTTTATTTTATTTAAAATTTTATCATGTGAGTGTATTTAAATTTTAGGTAAACTATACATTTAGTGCTTAAATTATTAGTTTTGATCCGTTTTAATACTTAAATTTTTAATTCTTTAAAATCATACTTAAATTTTAGTTTTTGTTTCATATTAGTACATTGTTCAAAATTTAACGTTAAGTTTTGCAAAAATGAAAGTTTAAGTATTAAAACGGACCAAAAATGATAGTTTAGGTAATAAATGCGTTAAGTTTTTAACAACGGGTACTAAATAAAACAAAATTAAACGTTAGTTATGCGTTTGAAAAAAATTAATGTTTAAGTATTAAGACGAACCAAAACTAATAATTTAAGTACTAAATACGTAGTTTACACTTAAATTTATTTTAATTTAAGTCTAGATAAATCATTATTATCAGTTAATTCATTTATGTTTTGTAATTATTGATTATTGATTGGGTTAATTATAGTTGTACAACTATATGCTTATAACTAGCATTAATTTCATCAACCCTTCAAATCAAATAATATTAATTAAAATATATTTGTTGCATTTGAATAACTATTTTTCAATCTAAAATTATTTTAAATTTAATTATAAATATATATAATATAATTATTAATATCTAATTTATTAATGATTATTTCATATAAAACAATAAAAATGTTCATTATGGAATGATTCTCCTAACGTATTTTATTTTACTTATAACCTTAAAATTTGAATTTTTAACTTTATATAAAAAAAGCTTAAAAGTTCATCCTATCAAATAAAAGTTAATATAATAATCTATAATAAAAATATTTTTCAATATTAAAAGAATAGTTTATGACATAAATTGAGTCGAATTAAATAAAAAGTAAACTTCAAAAAGAAAATAACAATAATTTCGAACCATAACTTGATTCATAAGTAGATGTACCTTAAACTTCAATTATTTTTATCAAACAATATGTAAGCATAAAATATTATTTTACTAGTGTTTTATATAGAAAACATGCATAAAAATTTGATTTTTTTTTTGTACATGAAAAAGTTTTAGTCATAAGTGGTTCTTTTAGTCTAGGGTCAGAGCATACTTAAGACCCAATTGTGATTTATATAAAAATTTACAAATTGCCCATAAAAAATGACGGTGGTAGGATAAATTTGATTATTATGGGTAGTATGAATTATAAATTTAAGGGGCCGTTTAGATGGGGAATGTGGGATTCCCCCGGGAATAGAATCCACATTCTCTCGTTTGGTTTAGCCGGGAATGTTATTCTCGGTAATGTTTTATTACCAATAGTGGATTTTTGGGGTATATTACCGGGAATGTCATTACCTCTCTTTCCTTAGGTATTGTAACATTATCTGCGTTTTGGACTAAAATGCCCTTAACTTTTTTTTTCTCAAAAATATCCTTTTTCTGTCATTGAATAATAAAAATTCTACGAAGGTTAAATTACAAATTTATCCTTAAACTATTTTAGATTTACAAAAAATTCTATAATTAAAATTTTATATGAAGTTCAGTGGTTAAAATAAAATTTTACCCTTTCATTAAATCTTTTTTATATTTTTAGTTTTGTAAAAAAAATGTTATATGAATTTTATGAATTTAAATTTTTAAAAAAAAATATATAAATATTTTCCAACTTGTAATATTATACAAATATATAATAAGGATAATTTGGTCAAATATACATTCTAATAATCTTTTATTCATTTAACCAAACACGGTAATCTTACATTCCTGCTAAACCAACCAAACACAAAATACAACATTCTCAGTAATCATATTCCCTGGTAATCTTTTATTCTCACTAGTAATCTTACATTCTGTGAACCAAACGCACCTAAATGTATAATCGTATAACCCGCACCATCCACATTTGTATTTAAAATTTTACTCTTAGGATAAACATATATATTTCAAGTGGACTAATTTGATAATCATTAACATTATTTAATAAAAAATAAAATTAGAAAGAACACCAATTTTAGTCGCCTATATCCGAGGATATAATCAAAATACTAATTCAAGGAAATAAAATATAATTAATAATAAAAATTAAGAAAAGTGAAATTAAATTATAATTTAAAGGTCTAAATAAATATTTGACTTATATAAAGGATACATTTTTTTAATTTTTATTATTTTTAATAATATTAAATGAGTAAAAATAGATTATTAAAACTAATAATAAAAAATGAAAAAAAATAATTGAAAAGAAAAAAACAACAGTATGATTTCAACAATATTTATATGTTATTTTACGCGTAAATGAATCTATAAATAAGATACGTTAAATTTATAAAAATAAAATAATTTCCAATAATTTAGAAACCTGTTGAAATAGAAGTTTAAGCTAATTCAAACACTGAGAAAAAGAACCGGAATTTAACCCAAAACCCTGACTTTAAATCCCATAGATTCACAATAAAACAAAGTTATCTGTTTGATGTTTATCCAACAAATCCAATCTTCACCAACTTCAAAACAAACTTGAAAACCTTAAACACAAAAGGTTTATTTAATAGCAAATATATTTGACATGTACCAAGATCATCACAACAACAGTAATCTGTTGTTTTTCGATTCGTGGACGCCGCCGCCGCCGCCGACGGCGAGGAGGGAGTGGACGTTTGCCGAGGATAAGGCTTTTGAGTTGTGTTTGGTGGAGTTTCCGGAGGGAACTCCTGATCGGTGGCATATAATCGCCGCCAAGATTCCGGGAAAGTCACCTGAAGAAATCAAACAACATTTTGATATTCTTGTTCGTGATGTTTATGAGATTGATGCCGGTCGAGTTCCGGTTCCGAATTACAGAGACGACTGGTTGGTGTTCGATTCGGAGTCCAATTCAAATCATCAAATTGATTTCGAATTAAAATCAAAACAGCAGGGAAACTGTGAACGAAAGAAGGGAACTCCTTGGACATTACTGGAACATAAGTATGTTCATTTTCACATTTATTTCGTTTTTTGACGTATATACGTACACGTTACACGAACATAAATATATTCATGTACACTATTGCTCACATTGATAACTGACTTCATTATTTTGAGTTACATATTAAATTACATGTTGAACTCCATGACTATTGTATGATACATTTTAATGTATGCTAGGTTATTTTTGTTTGGTCTGAGAAAATATGGCAAGGGTGATTGGCGAAGTATAGCAAGAAATGTGGTGATTACTCGGTCGTCGGCTCAGGTCGCTAGCCACGCCCAAAAGTATTATCTCCGATTGTATTCGGGGAAAAAGGCGAGAAAAAGATCGAGCATCCACGACATTACGATGATAGATTACGATGTGATGAATGCAATTGTCGAACGTCGAATGGAACATGGCTTCGGGTCCGGTTAGTACTGTTCAACAGGCGCCTCCTTCAAGCCATTTAGTAGGAAACTATGGCTATCCGAAGCAAGGATAAACGCTCCAAAACTATGTATATAAACGAGTTTGTTACACTCGATGATTTTGATTCATTATGATGCCGTAAGGATTTAAGTCGTTTATTACGATCTTTGTTTTAGAAAGAAGATTTTGAAATTTTGAAATTTTATGAATATTTCATTTGGATAACGATGACGGTTTGAATGTTGTAAATACTTTCTTCGTTTTGTACCTGTGCAGTTTGAAGCTCCATCTACAGCAAGGTTTACATGTCACATGAATGTTCAATGCAAACTTATCTCAACTCGAGAACTTAACTATAAATAAAGATGGGTATAAAATTTTATGTCTAAAGTGATGAGTAATAGTGTAGCAATGAGGTAAGCTCATCTATGGGTTCGATTTTTCTTTCCTATGTATATTTAATTGAGTGACGGATCTAACTTAAATAAAATTATCTCATCTTTATTTTCTTATATTCTATCTCCTCGTGAAAACATAATACTTAATTAACGATGGTTATGTGGTCAATCTATCGTGATTATGACTGGTACAGTCCATTTTATACCATTAACCCCCACTAACTTTTCTGTCAGTAAACTTTGAACATCGAAAAGCATTGTTGGTGAATCCGAAAACGTCTGAGTGTTTTTCTTACCAAGTTGTTTAGGTTTGGGTCAATATCTGGTCGCCCGGTTGCTTCTGTGACGGGCTGTTGCCGTGTGAAATGGCATTAAGGGGGCTGTTGATCTTGGAAAGATGGTTGATTTTCTTGGTTTCATGGACTATGGGGAGGGATGTTGAGTTATTGAAGTAGAGCCATGTGCACTTAAATTTAATTAGTTAATTAGATTTATCATTATTATCATTATTATTGAAAATTACGTTATTATTAATTTGAATTTACTATAAACTGGTTAAATGTAAGGGTAAATAACGTTAATAGTTACTAATGTTTGGGTAAGTATTCGTTTTCATTAATGATGTTTGAAAAGTCACAAATCGGTCATTAACGTTATCGTTTGTTACAAAATGATCACTCAATGTTAACAACTGTTATTGTGGGTGACATAAAACTAATGTGACACGTTAATCTTATTTTTTGGCACTGTTCGACCATTATTTTAACCTACTGTTCTCTTCCATCTCCACCCTCTCATCTTCATATTTTTTTTAACTCAAAATCTACCATTTTTTGATGAATGGGGGCTTTCTTGCACAAACAAGGAATGGAACTAAACAAAGCCCTTGGCTTTGACTATTTACTATGGAATTAGCTGATTTTTCCTCTTTGTTCTGAGTTGGGTTTGTTTTAATTCGTCAGTTCAGTTGTTTACAATTCCATTGTTAAATTTCTCGTAATCTTAGATTTTAACTGTTTTTCTGATGTTTGGCTAGAAAATATTTTCCTGGAAAATTCAGCTATGAGTGCAGCCGCCAACATTTTATGTTTTCACTACAACAAAACTAACTTTTTGTGGCCTTTTTTTTACCTATAGCGGCGTTTTTAAGCGCCGCAAAAAACACCTACGGCGTTATGACAAACACCGCAAAAAGCGCTACTGAAAATAGCGTCGTTAAAGTTCACGGCGTTTTTTAACGAAAAACGCCGCAATAGGTAACGATATATAGAGGTGTTTGTTCAACAAATGTCGCAATAGGTTATGATATTTAGCGGCGTTTGTTTTAACACACTATAATATATTTTGAGATTTCGCGGCGTTTTTAGGATACAAACGTCGCTAAAGCTCTTGTATATAGCGGCATTTTCAGTATATAAACGCCGCTAAGTGTCAGGTATATAGCGGCGTTTTTAGAATACAAACGCCGCTAAATGTCTGGTATATAGCGGCTTTTTTAGAATACAAACGCCGTTAAATATCTGGTATATAGCGTCGTTTTTAGGATGTAAACGCCGCTAAAGGTCTGGTATATAGCGGCGTTTGTATTCGAAAAACGCCACTAAAGGTTGATATATAACGGCGTTTGTTAAAAAAATGCTTTAATTGGTGTTAATAATTTACATCATTTTTTTTGATACAAATGCCGCTAAATGTATGATATATTGCGGTGTTTTTTGTTACAAACGCCGCTAAATAACACATAACATAACAAATTAAAAAATATTGTCGACTACCCCAAATTTGTTTTTTCAACCTATTCCATTATCCAACAAACATGACAACAATAACATCAAACTCTATATCCATAATAATCAACATCAAATCCAATATAATAAATAAAAATTTTCATTAATGTAATATAAGTTTAGTTAAACACTGTTCAATAACATTAACAGAATGCTGATAACATAAATGAGACCATGATGGTGCATTTTGAGGTTGATTTTTCTGTATCATATGCATCATATCATTGAGTTGTTTTTCAAATTCTTCACATCTCTGCTCATATGTTGCTTCTCTTTGAGCTGTCGCTGCTTCCCTTGCTTCATTTTTCGCTTTCAAGTTAGCCATTTGTTGATCCATCTCAGCCAACTTTTGTTTTAAACGACTAACTTCTATTTGGGAAGATTGAGACTGCGATGTCGTGTACTGTGATGAACTGGATCTAAAAAATTTGGTGGGAGTAACAAATGATCCTTGACAACACACCCGATCATATCTTTCTGGACCCAAAATGTCATTAATAGCTTGATTTTCAATGTCATCATCATTAAGAAGACCTTGACTCGAACCAGTCGTATAATACTCCGCCATTTTCTCCCTCAATTTATCCTAGTTATAAGGTGAATAATTAATTAAAATAAAAAATGTCATGGTACAAATTTAAATAAAGTCAGGTAAATTTAAAACATCTACCCAATAAACGTACCATAATTTCTGCAGCTTCAGCAGTCATAGGAGTGTCATCCTTCTTCGTATTTGTCATGTCGAATAATTGGATGCGACCAACTTTATAACCGGATGTATTTTCCTACAATGTATCATAATATAATTACTATGAGTTAGTATGTACATGGAATACAAAAAACAATGTCAATAATCTATAATACCTCCTCATTAGCTATACAAGCAAAACTCTTCGATCCAGCCGTGTGCGTAAACTTTTGATGTTGTCTGTTAGCAACACCAACATGCTCTCGGTCCTACAATGTCAGACAACCACTTTTAATGACAATTTATAATTCCTTACAATTATTTCTGAAAAATACATCATACCTGTCCTTTTTTTGAACTCCAAAATCTGATTGTATCTTCCCATTAGTACCTGAGCATTCCAAGTGGGACTGTTTGCAGCTTCTCTTCAAGGATGAGATCATTCTTGAAGTATTTCTTCTTTAAGGAGCTCTTGTGGTCCCTCCATCTATTCCCTAACGCTTGCTTCACATAATCGTCAGAGATCTCTAAAGAAAATTTCTCCTATACAGCAAATAAGTGTGCACCGTAAGTATACATTAGTATTGAATTTCTATAGAGTATATACTAATAATGACATTATTACCTTAACAAAATCCAATGCCTGATTTTTGTTACTATTAGGCATTTCGCGCCATGACTCATAATTGATCAGTAATAGATTCGCATTACGTCCAACTATGCCTAAGTAACCTGTGAGAAGACGCGCTTCTGGGCCAATAGGTTGACCGACATCGTTTCTTGAAACTTTGGCACGATGCCCAGGAGGAAGTTGATATAATTCCTTCAAAGTTGTACGTCCTCGAGTCTTGCGCGTTCTAGCATTTTCAACTATATAAGAAATTATTAAATGTCAGTTTTAAAAATGAACAATGTATTAAATAAAGTTTCGAAGATTACCTTGAATTTATACTTATTCTTCAACAGTTTCAGGAACTTCGGAAGACTCAAGTGCATTTGATTCATCGTTATTTCTTTCTTCATGGTCTTCAAACGCTCGAACGACCCGCAAATCAGTTATTTTTCTCCTCGGCATGATATCTGTAATAAGAAAACATGTGTAATAAAAAAATGAATTAATTAATGAATATATTGAAAGACAACATCTTAAAGGTTATAACATTATAAATAAATAAATAAATGAAGATATAAAATCGTACGACATTCTTATGTAATGTCAATTGTCATAAATATATTCATCAACGTCCTCCCGAACCATTAAAATTGTGTTGTATTTATGATATTTTCATCTAAGTTTTGTGGTAGTAGAGGTAAACATTCTGATCTTGTTTCAATTTCATCTTTACTTTCATCCCCGATGTCTATTAAGTCTATGGGAGTATTTTGGAGCACAACATGTCAACCGTCATCCATTGGATCGTGACAATAAAATACTTGTTTCACTTGAGAAGAAAATACATATGGTTCATCCATCAAACGTTGACCCGTATGAATTAATCGAGAGAAATTCACCATTGTAAACCCAAATTTATCTTATTTTATGCATCTGTTTACATCAACCCAGTCACACCAAAACAGCACAACCTTTCGGTTTCCATAATAATCTAACTCAATAATGTCCGTAAGATTTCCATAATAATCGACCTCTCCCTCTTGCGGATTATTATCCCTGACACTAGCATAACTTGTAGTTGACAAAGTAACTACGACTCCACAATTTTGTGTCCTCCTTAATCTTTCACGAGATTTCGTGTGGAACCTGAACCCATTAATGAGGAAGGCATTATATCTTTTAACTATTCTATTCGGACCTTGAGAAAGCCATTTAACATCTTTACTAATTTCTCTCCCACTCCAAACCTATTACACATGAATGGTGAATTAATTTGCATTGATTTCGATATAAAAAGCAAGACATTTATTATTTATAAGTATGTGGAATGATTTAGTTGCTTACCGTCTGGCCTAACCATTCATGGAAAGTTTCTGTGAATAACTTATGTATCTCTCGCTGTTGTAATCTTCGGGAGCGTGCACGAGATCTCAACACCTCTTTAAACTCACTATAAAGTATATTATGTTGTTAAAAAATGATTTAGCATAAAAAAGAGATTTCATTAGGATTGGGTTCGA